AATGATGACGCGACCCAGCACATACACACACACACACCGCCCTCCACGATATTTGCTTCAGTAGTTCTTTGTTCGCGGGCAGTAGGCGGGGTAGTACTTCGCTAGCGGACAGTGAGAGCGGCAGGTCTTCGCCAGCAGGCAGCGATAGCAGCAAACCTTCGCCAGTATGCGGGCAGGAACAGCGAAAAAACTTCGCTAGCGGACAGTGAGAGCGGCAGGTCTTCGCTAGCTAGCAGGCAGCGATAGCAGCAAACCTTCGCCAGTAGGCGGGCAGGAACAGCGAAAAAACTTCGCTAGCGGAGAGCGAGAGCGGGTACCTCGTTACCAGACGGCATCAGAGCCCTATAGAGTGCTTCGCGCCAGGAGCTGTTGACAGTTCCAGTGTTCCATTAGCCGGCAAGGAGAGCGGCTGCGCTTCGCTAGCGGTCAACTGACCCCCCACTAGTCGGAGCTCAGTTCCCCCAAAGAACACCGAGCGAGTATGGGCTGGCCAGAGATCCTTGTCCTCACGGTAATGGTGTCCGCTGCTCAAGGGATCTGTGAGTGTTGGTATCTAGTCTATCAAACCTGCTTGCTGGGGAGTGGCTTCGTGCCGACCTCGTCAGACTGTTATTGGTCATTTTAGTAATCCGAGTTGTCATTGTTGCAATCTAATCAGAGGTTATGATAATCAGATCAGTGCTTCAAGTGCTCTCATCAGTGATTGTAGTAATCTGATCAGTGGTTATAGTAATCTGATCAGTTACTGTAGTAATCTGATCAGTTACTGTAGTAATCTGATCAGTTACTGTAGTAATCTGATCGCCGGATGATGTAGTTTGATCCATAGTTGTAGTAATGTGATCAAAGGTTAAAGTGATGTGATATATTAAACATTAAGAATGCTTCACTAATGCTCAAGAATGACCTTATTTAAGGGGGTACGGATGTACCACTAACGCTAACGAGCTGACCTTACCGACCTTACAAGCAGCTGAGCTGTAAAACACGACAAGCCTCCTGAACATAAAAAAAATTCATTTAAAATCACATGAACTTATACACAACCCTTAAGTCTGTTGTATACATAAGGTAGGTACTTTCAACATACCTAGTCCGAAGGTGAGCTTGCAAGGTCTTCTCAAATACCAAAATATACCTTTTCCATTCACGCTTTACTAGTATACCATTCCCCTCTACTCTTAAAGTAAACTGAGTCCTCTGGAGTCAGTTTACGTTCAGTTTACGCAGAGTCCTCTCAACACACACAGTCCTGTGTTGCACGCAACACAACCAGTATATGCATGTTGCAGTCACCTCTCACATACACGAAGATTTACTGGTGTTCCATCTTGCACTCTAGTCAAACCAGTCATGTACTCACTTCTTCCATCACGTCCACCACTCAGACCAGCAGAGTAGGGGCTCAATACTTTCTGTAAGAAAATATTGAGGTAATGTAATGGGCTCGAATGTACACCCCAGAATGCTTGTCTGGGTTTCTCAGGAGTATACACCACCGACTGCACCGTGATGGGTATTCAGGGATGGTGTACAGCATCACCCTTGTGTCAGGGTGTACAGCATCACCCTTGTGTCAGGGTGTACAGCATCACACTGTCACCCTTGTGTCGGGGTGTACAGCATCACACTGTCACCCTTGTGTCGGGGTGTACAGCATCACACTGTCACCCTTGTGTCGGGGTGTACAGCATCACACTGTCACCCTTGTGTCGGGGTGTACAGCATCACACTGTCACCCTTGTGTCGGGGTGTACAGCATCACACTGTCACCCTTGTGTCGGGGTGTACAGCATCACACTGTCACCCTTGTGTCAGGGTGTACAGCATCACACCACTGTCACCCTTGTGTCAGGGTGTACAGCATCACACCACTGTCACCCTTGTGTCAGGGTGTACAGCATCACACCACTGTCACCCTTGTGTCAGGGTGTACAGCATCACACCACTGTCACCCTTGTGTCAGGGTGTACAGCATCACACCACTGTCACCCTTGTGTCAGGGTGTACAGCATCACACCACTGTCACCCTTGTGTCAGGGTGTACAGCATCACACCACTGTCACCCTTGTGTCAGGGTGTACAGCATCACACCTCTGTCACCCTTGTGTCAGGGTGTACAGCATCACACCTCTGTCACCCTTGTGTCAGATGATAAAGCTAATTAAGTTATTAAAATATCATTTTTATTGATTCAGGGTTCAACGAGTCTACCTGTTATCACTGTATTATATATGATCATTATGCACACATGAACAGTCATGAAAACACATAATACTATTATTATACATATATATATATATATATATATGTATGTATGTATGTATGTATGTATACATTATACATAAATATACCTATATAATATATAAATACCTGCTTGGAATGGAATTGAACCTAACTCATTTACCTGGCCATAACGATCACCTTTAATAAAAAAATTCCTGGCAGCAGCAGCAATAGCTTTATTGCATTACGAAATCCATTTATTACAAAAGCTTTGTAATTGACTAAATTACATTAACTACAGGATGTTGAAGCGATGTCATTTAAACGATGAACTATACTGAAGGGAGATCCAATTGCAGGGACGGTTTGACGATTGATGAGTACTGTCAACGTTGCTTTATATCTAATTGAATTGGGTGGTTCTTGGGCCTGTGAGTTGTGTTGATGTGGTTGTTAGCCTGGGGGGGGGGGGGATTGATGGGGCTGAATGGGGATATATAACTTTTTTTATTTGAAATTATTTGTTCCAGTATATTTTAATATGCGTCAGTATACTGGAGCAAATGGAGCAAATATATATTAAAGTATACTGGAGTCTCCACCATATATATATATATTGCAACCCGTTCTCGCAAATTTAATAAGTCAATATTGACTTATTAAATATGTGCATAGGTGACATACTTAACATAATAGATACCCTTAAAAAGATTCATAGAAAACACCGACCTTACCTAACCTTGTTAGTATCTTAAGATAAGCATCTTATTGCTTCGTAATTACAATTATTACTTAACCTATAATAGGTATAGGTTAAGTAATAATTGTAATTACGAAGCAATAAGATGCTTATCTTAAGATACTAACAAGGTTAGGTAAGGTCGGTGTTTTCTATGAATCTTTTTAAGGGTATCTATTATGTTTAGTATATCACCTATGCACGTAGTTAATAAGTCAATATTGACTTTACGAATTTGCGAGAACGGGTTGATATATATATTATAGTCTTCATTATACTTAAATCAGCCAGGCATAAAAGGACTGAGTTTTACATCAAATAGCTTTCTCCAGTCTTAGGTTAGATACATTACAAAGTCTAAAGTACAAAAAAAATCAATAATTATAATTGTAAACTCCATTAATTTAAAGTACAAGTGTACACGTTGTAAAGAAATAATTTGGTTTAATGTGATGGTATTTAAACCGCAGGGACGCCGGCAGGCATGGTTGGAGAAGTGTTGGAGCAGCTAGGTGTGTTGCAGGTGTGGCTTCTTACACCTGCCGACACCCTGATGTCTCCAGCCTCCCTCCACCACACAGGTACAGTCTGCACCACCACACAGGTACAGTCTCCACCACCACACAGGTACAGTCTCCACCACCACCACACAGGTACAGTTACCCCACCACACAGGTACAGTCACCACCACACAGGTACAGTCACCACCACCACACAGGTACAGTCTCCACCACCACCACACAGGTACTGAATTACCAGAGATGAGGTCCAAAGGACTCTGTTAAAAGCAGGAGGTGACAAAGACTGTTGTGCCAGACAGAATCTCACCATAGATACTAAAAGAACGTGCAGAAGCACTAAGTGTGCCACTCACTATGGTATATATATCACTGGAAACAGGAGACCTACCGGAAAGTTGGAAGACAGCCAACAAAATCCCATTATACAAAAAGGTCGACAGGTAGGAGGTACTGAAGTGTCCCTAACTAGTATACCATACAAGATGATGGAGAAGATCGCGAGGAAAAGGCTCGCAGAACATCTGGAAAGAAAGAGCTTTGTAACGCACCACCACCATGGGTTCAGAGATGGTAAATCGTGCCTCACAGGTTTAATACAAGTCTATAACCAGTCGAGAACAATTATGCAAGAAAGGAGGGCAGACTGCATTTTCTTAGACTGTCAGAAAGTCCTTGACACAGAGCTCTATAAGAGGATAGTACAGCAGTTAGAGAAGAAACAGGCAGGAATAACAGGTGCTCCAGGGGATTAGGGGAATATCTTAGCAATATACAACAGAGATATATCCGATATATATATATACGTATCATGAAGGTAAACAATAATATATGAATGTATTGTGTTCCAGCAGTGGAGGAGGCGCTACTGAGTGACCTGTGGAGGCGAGGAATGCTGGTGACTCTCTCTCGCCTCCACTTCACTTCTCTCACTCTTGTAGAGCTTCACGCCGCTGGCAACACTGTCTCAGCATCCAACCATACCACACCTGTCAGCCATACCACACCTGCTAAAGTATCAGCCAGTGCCAGCAACACTACCTTAGCACCTCTCCGCTCTCACAAAGGTGGGTATAAGCCTCTATTACCCATCCTATAATATAATATTGGTCTATATATCGTCATCTGTAGGTTTTACTAGCATCCTATAAAAATGAAAGTACGAACAAGAATTTTGTTTCATTTATAAATTAACAAAATATATAAACAAAATTGCATCAAATTTGATAGTAGCTTAAATAATAGTCTTAGCTAAGAGTGTTTACCTAAGAGTGACTACAAGAGGGACGAGTCTAACTCTTTGTGCCTCGCCTACTGGCCTTCTTGTACCTGTTGAATTATAACTGAACTTTCCTTTTGGATGAAGAGAAGTTATAATTATAATTTCCTTTTTTCAAAACTTGATCAAATCTGGCCCAGGAGAAGTGGTAGTTGCAGTAGCCAAGGTTACTACGGCGGTAGTAATTGTTGTAGTAGTGGTGGGTGATGGTAAGATTACGTCCATCATTCATCTGATGATGTGTATTGTCATCAATGACAAGGTAGAGTATCTACTCTGCACGATGAAACCACATTAGCGTATTATTGAGAAGATCAGTGGGAGCCTTTAGGATTCGAACTTATGCTCTGGGGTTACTTAGACAACTACACCAGGACATTGTAAAGGATCTGCATCTTGGGACTACAGAGTCAGAGTGCCTGGAGGAATTTTGTGAAAGTCTGGTTCGTGAGACTTCCTCACGAACCCTAGAGGAATCCTGGATTCCCAGAGCCTCAGGATTCATCCCTAGTTGAATCCCAGGTTACAATACGTTTACTATGTCGGGTTGTAGTTGCCTAGGCATTCAGAGCACTCGTTCGAATCCTTCTCAAGGCTCCTACGGACTTTTTCGTATCAACTATAGTATACCAGTCTATATAAATTGTTAAATAAAATAACCGCTATGTAGAGCTACAACAACACGATGCACTTGGAATTGTCTTGGGGGGAAAAATTATAGTATTGTGACTACGTTAATGAAATAATACTTACCTCCATGCTCTTCCGAAATCAATTGAGAGGCCTTAAGGTGACTCCTTGAAGCTTGCGGAGACCTTCCCCATATACAAGCTGGGCAGCAACCTGGGGGAAAAAAATATATATATATAAATATATAATAATTGTTTATCTTTGGCCAGAGCCTTGGAGTATCCTTCCCGGACGACCCACTGAGGAGGCTCTTGCCTGCCAGCTTCCCACTCCTGTAGAAGGTGCTGGTGGCACAGAGGTCTACAGTGACAAAGGGGTCGATAAGTCCACAGTGGCGGCAGTGAAGGCCACACTGGTTAAGGCCCTCGGCGCTCTCAGTGGTAACGCGGTCATTCTCTTGGTGGGAGAGGCACGCTGGGTCACCCATCTGGCCATACTGGTGAGTAATTGTGATGTGATTCATCCATGGTCACTCATCTGGCCATACTGGTGAGTAATTGTGATGTGATTCATCCATGGTCACTCATCTGGCCATACTGGTGAGTAATTGTGATGTGATTCATCCATGGTCACTCATCTGGCCATACTGGTGAGTAATTGTGATGTGATTCATCCATGGTCACCCATCTAGCCATACAGGTGAGTAACTGTGATGTGGTTCACCCATGGTCACCCATCTAGCCATACAGGTGAGTAATTGTGATGTGGGTCACCAATGGTCACCCATCTAGCCATACAGGTGAGTAATTGTGATGTGGGTCACCCATGGTCACCCATCTAGCCATACAGGTGAGTAATTGTGATGTGGGCCACCCATAGTCATCCATTTAGCCATACAGGTTAGGGTAATGATGAAGAGAAGGGGCTAAGTCAGTATCACTACACAGCACTGGGAAAGGATATGGGATATAAGGACAGAATATGAGCTGGGATATGAGGATAGGATAAGGTGCACTTCTCTATGATGGTTTTCGTCCAAAACTCCTTGCTATATTAACTCTGAATTCAGTAGCTTGTTCAAAAGCGTGTTCAAATCTTCTTACAGGAGGAAAGTGAGGCCGCGGATATTGGTAGAGATTGTAAATGTTAATTTACGGGACATTACTGATCTCAGTGTTTTTCCCCTCAGAATGAGGATACTGAACTAGAATTATTTGCAGTAAAAATGTTTACAAATGCTTACAATGGGCTCTTCCTGGTAGAAATAGAATAGATAGACACAGGTGCATTTTGGATAGATGTTGACTCATCCAAAATGTCATCATATCCTAGCAGTCAAATTATGCTTGAATAATGCTTAATTGACATTTTCATTGCTACATCAACGTCATTTATCCAAACTTATCTGAGAGGTGACGTCCCTTGCCCTACGCCTTTCCAGAGACATTTAGTATTTCTAACTTATCTTCTTGTGAAAGGTCCATAATGTACTGTCTGAGGGGAGGGAGGGAATTATCAAGGGAAAGCGCCAAGCCATTGCGATTATATAGCACTTGGAAGGGATCAGGATAAGGATTTGGGATGGGACGTTTGTTCTATGCTCTGCAATATTCCGCAACATTGTGTAGACGTTGAGTCACAATAACATGGCTGAAGTATGTTGACCAGACCACACACACTAGAAGGTGAAGGGACGACGACGTTTCGGTCCGTCCTGGACCATTCTCAAGTCGATTGTCTTGACTGATTTTATAATAGCAATATAAATAATTCTCTCTAATAGAAATGCACAATCGACTTGAGAATAGTCCAGGACGGACCGAAACGTCGTCGTCCCTTCACCTTCTAGTGTGTGGTCTGGTCAACTTCTGTTCATTGTTCCGTGAACACAGTGTTCCCACTGTGTTCTGGACATATTGATGACCTAGAATACCAGTTGACATAAGTGCATCAAACATTACATGCTCAGTATTCGGCTAACATCAAACGACATCATCCACAGTACTCGGGTAACATTAAGTGCATGTAATACTACTACTATGTACAGTACTAAGGTAACACAGGTACACCTGGCTAACATTATTCTTTTTACTTTCACAGGTAAACAAGGAAAGAATGCTGGGGCCGGTAAGTCTCCATCAACTATGTTTAATAAGATTTATTATTTATGTGGAGTAACTGCGAGTATTTCAATCAACTCATAAGTAGCGCAGACTACTTGTCCTTTCATATTCTGCTGCGCGGGTCAATAGTATTCAATAGAGGTAAACGCCCATGTGTATTAGCAGACACCTGCACGCAGTGCCAAATATAATGAGCCATTAGGCATGTGTACTCGATAACGCTAAGTGTTGAAGCTCCCCATTTGGGGGATCATCTGTTGGCCTTGAGGAGAATGCTTAACAAGAATATACTAAATTTGTAAGGTTCATTTTATGTGTTCCAGATATTATCTCATTCATTGCAAAATCAGAAAATACTATTTTTTTTCCATTTCAGTCACTTAGACATTGGAGATTCGAACTCGGGCCTAAAAATTACAAGACTGTTATCTTACTAACCAGGCCATTGATGCTTACAACTGGATCTTATGAGAAAATATTAATCTTATATTAGATTTACTCGTCTAGATCTTATATAACGTACCAAAATCTTAAGGAGAGCTGGAACTTACGCAGTGCTCCATCGTCTTTAATAGAAATGCATTAAAAGAACTTGTATATTGAAATTACATATATGTCTGTAAAATAGGATTCCTGTAACCTATTTCCATTTCAAGCATAGGCTTCAAACAACTAATAAAGAAGCTTGTTTTGATTATATCAATGAGTGAAGATGTAACACTTAAACCAGTGCTAAAATTCGATTTGTTAGTGATCGTGAAATTTATTTAAACAGAACAATGTGCTTATGTTGCACCCTACGTCCGGCAGCGTTGACCAGAGGATGTTGGTGCCACGCCTGCGGCTTGCAGCCAAAGTTCTTGTTCTTGAGCGGCAATGTTCAGCCTCAGTGGGAGGTCAGTCTCCCGTGGAGACTGACAGAAGATGTGTCGCCTCCCTCAGACAAGCTGTTCTGTTGCCTGCCGGGGGTTACGATTTAAGGGTTAGTGGAGACGCACAGGTACTCGAAGGATCTTCTTCCCCATTCTTCACCCATCCCATTAACCCCCTTTGTCACCTTGTACCACTCCACTCGTCCCCTCTTTCGTCCTTCCCCTCATATTCTCCCCCTCTTCATTCTCATTTTCCCCCCATTTTTCCCTTCCAGCTTCGAACAGACACACACACACACATACTCCTTATATATATATATATATATATATATATATATATATATATATATATATATATATATATATATATATATATATATATATATATATATATTTATGACATATATATATATGACAGCTTTCAATATGCTCGTTAACACTGTCCATCATAAATGGTCTGAGAATGCTTGAAAAAAAAATCCTCAGTTACGCCAACAGTTAGCAAGCTGCTTTCAGGACTTGCTGTCAAAGAGTTTTCACAGACAAAGGCAGCCATTACGGTGTTGCACTGGTGAGGTAGGCAATATGTCAACAGCTAGAGTGACTTTTACACTGGCCTTGTTAAAGCGTGATCAACCAGCCTGTTTTCTCAAGTTGTCACACAATACAGATACAACTGCTCAATCTACCTAGACAATTAGGAATCGCAGCAACCCACCTAACCCATCGAAGCTGATGCGTAGGAAAGGTCAGTTTTACGGTTCCTGGACGGACTAGTCGATCTGGTGATAAAATGTGACGTATTGGATGAAAGAACGGATGGAATTATTAGAACTCTGGTAGTTATGCCTGAGGCCTGTCAGACCTGGGTTAAATCACTTGCATATCGAAGTTTCCTGATATATATATATATATATATATATATATATATATATATATATATATATATATATATATATATATATATATTATTAAATATGACCGAAAAAGTAAGATTAATAATTCTAACACGAATTTTCTCAATCTTTCGTACATTACGCTTCACTGTTGGAGGTAAATCTCCCCTCCAAAATTCACTTCTCCAAAATTCATTTTTATTTCTAGTCTGACGCGACACGGGCGCGTTTCATAAAACTTATTACATTTTCAAAGACTTCACAAATACACATCTGATTAGAACTTACGTATCTCTGATTTTATATCTACATTTGAGTGAGGTGGGAGGGGTGATGTGGCATTAACACAAGACAGAACAAGAGGGGATATTAATAGGGTATTAAAAGTATCAACACAAGACAGAACAGAAACAATGGGTATTGAATAGAAGTGTTTGTAGAAAGCCTATTGGCTTTCTACAAACCTATATATATATATATATATATATATATATATATATATATATATATATATATATATATATATATATATATATATATATAGGCACTTGTGTATTTTGAAAGCAGTCGTTCTTTGAGACTTGTAAACTGGACATGGATTAAAGATTAATATTCTTTCTTCATATAGAGAACGGATCTTCTCTATATTTCTTCATTTCTTCTACATATTGGAAGGAAATGCAATATTTACTCCTTAAAAGTCATTTTACATTATTAATTGGTCTTGCTGCGTGGGTATGAAGACGAATGGCAATTTGTTGACGAATTCTTCTTGCCACCACAGTGGAGGAAGCTTTGAGAGAGATGAATGTTGTGTATAACTTGACTCGACTTGTGAACTGCCAGCTACAACACCCTCAATGACACCAACATATATATTTTCCATGGGGTACGCGATGGGGTATAGAGGTATAGTTTGGAGGTCTGGTCGACGACCGGGCCGCGGGGACGCTAAGCCCCGGAAGCACCTCAAGGTAACCCCGTCAAGGGGACCAGGCAATCTCCCCCCCTGCATCCTCAATGGTCGGCTGGGGTTGCAGGTGTAATGTAAATTGACAATACTTTATTGATCTTATAGATGTTGCGCTTACCTTGGTCTAAGCTGAAAGGTGATAATTGGAAGATAAGTAGATCATCCACTTATCATTTCAGCTTTTTTGAAAAAGCTGAAAGGTGATAATTGGATTGATAAGTGTTTGATATGTAGTGCTCCTGCTAGGTCTATTCTCCTATGGTCAGTGTATCAGTCGACTATGTCGGTGTTACTGGTCAGGATATCTCTCTCTCTGGCTATAGTTTGGTTGTGAGTAAACGTTATGTGATCTCTAGGTGGACCCATGTTGCTTATGCATTATCAGTTGCCTTGTAAGAGACAGTGTGGTCCCGCTTACATATTGAGATCATTGAGACTAACATTCCCATGAGTGTACAACGTAATAACATTAAAGCAAAGAAAAAGATCAATTATAAATTCTTCAAACATATATTTTAGCTCCTCGGGAAAGTTGTTCGTATTTAAAGTTACAATTAGCTGCAATTTGATAGATATATACTGAACTACTAATAATTGGTGTTAATGCTGTCAAATTATTAAATAAACATTAAGATTGTCAATGTATGATCATAACCAAAAAATACAAAAGATGGAGATCTATATTAACCCGAGGAATTTGTGAACAAGTGAACATCGCAGTGGCATAAAGAATGTGTTTATATTTTGCGTGTAGCTCGCCTCAGAATATACCTCAACCACCATAAGTCACAATTAGACCTGAATATCCCTGCGAGTGTGGCTGGGACTGGGAGAGTTGTGGGGGCTAGGAGGGGTCCGTGACTGATTAGAGGACGTGACCAGTGTGTGTGGCAGAGGGAGTGACCGGAGACAAGGGGTGTGACGGAGGGTCCAGAGACCAGGGGTGGCGGAGGGACGTATGAGATTGAGGTGTACGAGAGACAAAAGATTAATGGATGGCAGAGGGACCCAGAACCCACTAGAGAGTGTGGTGTAGGGAAAAGGGGTGGACAGGAGACTCTGGGGGTGGTGGGGAAGGTGAGACTGGGGTGTCTGGGGAACGACCCGAGGCTATAGGGGCATGTTAGAGGAGCCGAGGACAGAGTGGCTGGCTCTGAGAGCACCGTTAAGATCGATCGTAAATTTGGAAGTCGCGCCGTATCCCTGGCTGAAAGGTGGCGCGTGGCAGATGGTAAGGGGAATTTCGATGCTCTATCTTTATTAAAAAGATAATGGAATTCATGTTATTAACGGATGGCTAAGCTTTTGAAATTATTAAAGTTCTTAGGGAATTTGAATAAAAACGAAGATTGAGACAAAACGCCTTTTTGGCTCTCTGGTTTTCTTGATAATTGATGATAATGTGTCACATTTCGCATCAAAACTAAGAGCCTCATATTTGTCCTTTTAGTGTTAGTGAAATGTTACACGTGTATCCCGTAGACTATACTTAGGAGCTTGCATTAATAGCACAAGAATCATCAACATGAGGGAAGAACTGAAGTTTCCAACCATACTAGAGAGAATAATGCAAGTTAACACTACCTTCTGTCTTAAAGTCATGAGAGATCCTACATCTCCTGCATTGCTCAGAGACAAATTATTTAGTGCTGTTAACACCCTTTTGACTGGTGCCGACATACCATCTCACTCCTTTTATGATAATTGGCTGAGAAACAATGCTTACAATCTCATTAAACTTAACATTCCTTTTAAGTGCAATCTACCAGTCTCTGATATTCCTCTTTATCTGTACCCCACCATTCAAGTATCATACACACCTGTCACCAAGAAAGATAATGAGAATCTTGCTCTACTCAAAGCTGTCACTCTTGAAACAATTGCCTCCTCCATCGAGAGTCTAAGATCTCACGAGCACTGTGTCTACACCGACGGCTCAGTCCAGTCTTCTACTGGACGGACTGCAGCGGCATGTAGGTTTTATACAAAATAATATCTGCACAAAGTCTGTCAGTGTCAGGTTAAACAACTGGCTGACCTCCACACAAGCAGAACTAGCAGCATTACATTTAGCAACCAGCACATTAAAAAATATTGGAGGAGGAATAATATTCTGCGATTCAAAGTCTGCTCTTCAAGCAATCGAAAACTTCTCTTGGAAGATCGACAGCAAGAACCTAATACTCCCAATTATAAATGACCTAATTGATGCACAGAGTAAAGGGTCTCGAATCTCCTTTGTAT